TCATCATTATCTCCATCTGCTTCATCATCATCAGCCTCATCAACCTTATTTTCCTCCTCCTCCTCAACCTCCTCCTCCCTCTTCCAAATCCCTCTCCTCCTCCTCCGCCTCCTCCTCCTCCCTTTCCTCCCCCTCCTCCCCCTCCTCCTCCTCCTCCTCCTCCTCCTCTTCCTTCTCCTCCTCCTCCCCCCCCTCCTGTTCCCCTTCCTCCTCCTCCTCCTCCTCCTCCTCCTGCTCCTCCTCCACCTTCTCCTCCCTATCCCCCTCCCCCTCCCCCTCATTGGTTCCCCAAGCGTCCGCATCTTCGCAGCGATCTGAATGGTTCAAACTTACCTAGTAGCAACCGTGATCCATCTCTGGCTGTGCTTGTCCGGGGTTTTATCCGCCTTGGTCATTGAATGTTTACCCTACTTCATTCACGCGCTTGGCGCAGCCAGCTGTAATGTATTCCTTCTGGCCCCGCTTGTAGCATTCTCGCTCGCCAAAAAGGTGCGTACCCTTTGGCGATGGGCTTGCCGCCCATCTGCTTTGCTGGCCTACCTGATCCTTGGTACCCTCCGCAGTTCCTTTTGCCGTGCCATGTCGGCCCGCTCGGGCGGCCTCTGCCCTCGCCGGTGCTCTTGCCTTCGCCCTCGGCCTCGCACTCCCGTGCGGCGTTGCCCGTCCTGCCACGTTTGTGGCAGCTGCCTCTTGCCTTTCCTTCGTCGGCCCATCCGCACATCTCCATCTCCTCAACTTTGATCTTCATGCCATCCAGGATTCCCGTCAGCCTCGGCAGGCCGCCGGTTGCCTTCGTCGTCGTGCTCCCCTTGTCGTCCTCTGCCTCTTCACAGACGCTCCCGCTGTCCATGGCATCGCGGCTCGTAGTGTCAGCGTCTAGTCGTTTCTTGCGAGCCCACTCCTCACATTTGAGGTACATTATGCGACTCAGTGGTCAGCGACTCGGGCGTCTTAAAACAGTCTTGTTGCCAATTAACACCACTCTCCCGCATGCGGCACAATGACTCTCGGCGCTGTGATCTTGCAGGGAACATGCAGCTCGTAAAATCCAACCTCTTGCCCATCTTCTCCACTCATGCGCTCCAATGTTCTAATTGAACCGAGGTGTCGCTTGCCTTCTTGGGCCTCTCGGGTTTCATGGCTGAGCTCATCTTGGCCGACACAGTTACCCCGCTTACTGCATGGTGCCACTTATATGATATTCTCATGTAGACGATCAGCCCGTCGCCCTCTCTTAGCCCCTGCAATTTGCCGCGCGCTTCCACGCTCCAGCTTTCTCTGTGAATGCGCACCGCAGGTCTTCATCAAACTTACCAGTCTCGGCCTCGTCCAGTTCGTCCTCTTCTTCTCTTTGGGCTTCTCCATTTTGTTTCCTCCAAGGTGGCTCTGCTATATTCAGCTGCCGTCATTCGTCTGTTCAGCCTTCTTATCGTATCGCCTTCCCCAATCAGATCTGGCACTGCTCCGTCCATGGTTACCAATTGTGCCTTCAATGTTTTGAGCGCCTTGTGGTTCTCATTGTTGACATGTGCCAGTGCATTAAACAGTCGTTCGTTCCATTCACGGAAATTCGCCCAATCTTCGCTAAAGCTTTTGAGCGTCCGGACAGCTGTGGACTCGCTTATGGGTCTCCAATGAGTTTTGTCCCTGTCTGGCATTAGCGTATCGAATATTGGTGCGAGTATTCGGTTCGTGTTCGTTTTTTTCCGATTATCTTCTCCCTCTCAGCTACGCCCGACATCACAATTGCTGTTTTTGTCTTGTGCCTGTTCTCGCGATTGACTCTGCTCGGCAGCGCTGAATTGGTATTGCCAAACACTTTCATCAATGACATTGCGTGCTTTTTGGATAGCTTTTGGTTGCCTGAACGTTCTTGGTCGTCCGGGTAATTTGACATTGCATCGTGGTGGCTTGACGAACTCATCATCGGCTTGATTGTTAGCCGTCAGGCCGTTACCTCCGAACTTGGTGAGGTTGTATTATCCTCGATCCATTTCTGTCTCATGGTTGGCGGGTATTCTGGCTCCTGGTCTCGCTGCCATAACCTCGCTCCGGTACCATTCAATTTTAGCAGAACGATTGTCATGAGGATGTGGCACTCTGTCTTAGAAGAAAATGAAAGTACCACAAGATGTCGTGCCGCGGTGACGCGGAATTCAATACTTGAACCAAGCGCCAGCGGTTGCACGGTTGCACAGTAGCTTGGTGTCTTATACCGACACACCGCCTCCCCCCTCCTCCTCCTCCTCCACCTCATCATCATCATCATCATCATCATCATCATCATCATCATCATCACCATCATCACCGTCATCATCATCATCATCATCATCATCATCATCATCATCATCATCATCATCATCATCATCATCATCATCATCATCATCATCATCATCATCATCATCGGCGAGGCCTTCGCCGTCCTCACCAGACATGGTCACGACGATGATCATGATGAGCACGATCATCACGGCCACCGCCGGCGCAACTGCTGAAACGCACCCCCCCCGTCGACGCAGGACGCCCCCGCCGGGCTTCCCGCGCCGACGACGACGACGACGACGACGACGACGACGACGACGAAAGCGGCCGCGCCCGACGCCGACGCCGTCGCCGCCGACGCCTGCGGGCCCCTCGGCGGCGGCGGCCCGCCGGCGGCTTCCGCCATCGCGGCCGCGCCGCGCCCTGGGGCGGGGGCGGCGGGACGCGGGGCGCCCCGGGCGGGCTCCTCCGGGAGCCTGCGGACCAGGGCGAGGGCGAGGACGGGGAAGATGACGTCGCCGTCGTCGCCGTCATGGGCGGCGACGATGGCGGTGGCGATGACAGTGGCGGTGGCCATGACGTCATCGTCCTCGCCGTCCTCGGGGGGGGGCAGGAGCATCTGTTTCTAGTGGATTTTGAGCCCGGGGGGGCGGTGGGGGGGGGGCTCCCCAGCGACCCTGATGACGAGGGCGATGACGACGGTGACGATGACGATGACGGTGACGATCACGATGGCGGTGACGATGACGGTGACGATGATGGTGACGGTGACGGTGATGATGACGTCGTTGTCATCACTGTCATCGGGGGGGGAGCATCTGTTCTCGTTGTTTTTAGGCTGTTACCGTTGTTATTATACTGCTTCCCCCATTCTCTGTCCTCTCTCTCTCTCTCTCTCTTCGCTGGCACCTTGGGGGCGAAGGAGATGTGGGCGCACTTCTGTCGCACGGCAGAAAGTGGAGGAGGAGAAGGACCAGTGCAAACCCAAGACTCATCAACGATGTTGCAATCACCCTCCCTCCAAGCGCCCTCTCCATAAGCTCCCATAAGGACCTATCTTCGTTGCGGGAAAAGCCCCGCCCGTTGGAATACAACCATCTGAAAATCTTCAACCGTACTACAACACTATTCCTGGGACTCCAACGCCGCGGATCAACATTACTGCTGCGACTTGACGATCTTAAATCGTGACAGAAAACCATTTCTGGGACGTCAACACGACCGTCGCGCCCTGACAGTCCTGAGTCGTGCTCAAGCACGACTGCTGGAACGTTAACGATAAGAGCCCTTGAATCTGTTATACAAGGTTAACGCGAATGTGCGCGGCAAGGCCATCGCCAGTGGCTTTGACAACGAAAACGTCCGACAACAAGGCCACGCCGTCGAGGTCCTTACGCCGGCTGGCCCTATCGAGCCAAGCATCCCAGCTGAGCCCGGACGCTGACCTTAGCACGGCGGTCCCGCGCAATTGCTTTGCGCGCCGGGATCCATCTAGACCTGGCAGCCGCACCTCTGAAGGGGTGTTTCTGATTCCGGAGCCGACAAGCTTCGAACGAAGACCCTGATGACCCAGGCACTCTCTCGTACAAGTCTGCATCTAGCCTGCCTGCCTGCGTGTTCGCAAACGTCCCCATTCCCACCGAGCCGGCAAAGCGGACCAGAGCTACCACCTGGTTGGACGGCCACTCGTTGGCAGCGTGCCAAGGCAGGCAGTTTCGCAGCGCCATGGGGTTGGCAGTCTGTGCGGCCACCGCGATGACTAGCGCATTGTCCGGAACCTCTCCGCACGCAACCTTGCAGCGCAAGGTGCGGAGGCACAGCCTAATGGAGAGCCGAGGTGCCCCATCCTGTGGCTCCACATGGAAGTTGGCGTTGCCTACGTAGCTGACTTTGACCACTCCTATGGCTGGTGGGGCCAGCATCGCCCGCCCATGCCCACGAGGGCCCACCACTCAGGTGGAGAAGCCTCTGGAGCCTTCACACGCCCACCTCGGAAAGACCGCTCCCCGTTGCGCCGACGATGCTGCAATGCTCCCACTCGAGGGATGAAAAAACGACCCTACCCTGGGTTACAAGTGCGTGGTCTGTAAACCTCCTGGGAGCCCCCAGAGCCTAGAACCGCCAGGACGCGGCACATCACGCAGGGTTTACCCTGTCAACCCACAAGAGTTTCAGCGCACAGCGCCTCGTAAACCAGGGTAGGGGCGTTTTTTTATGCCCTTGAACCACCTCTGCTCCCGCCGATCTGCACGCTGGTCTCTCGGCCTTTGGGGCGCAGGCCGCGCCTGGAGACGGGCCCCGTGTGCCGGCGGTTGTTCCGGCAGACGGTCGGCCAATTTCGTGGCATCGTGCTGCGCACAGTGGCCCCCGCAGCAGATGCACCCCACCGCTCGCGCGTGGCCCCCGCGCCCGCGGGCCTCCCTTCTCAACGGGGCCGCCGAGAAGGCGGAGATAGAGGGCCAAGGCGAGCGAGAGGGCGGAGGCGAGAGACAGGGAACGGTGCGGGGCGGGAGCAGGCGAAAGAGGGGAGGGAAAGGGAGGTGCAACGCAGGCGGCGAAAAGGCACCGGCCTGGAAGCTGCGCTACACCCGAATGTGCCCGGTAAGGGAAGTTGAGGGGCGCCGAAGTCTGAGCTGGCACTTGCCACGGCGCCTGACTGGAGGGGCACGCTGCTGCCAACGACTGGGGAGGAGGATGCGGATGAGGACGAGGACGAAGATTTTTTTATATAAAAAAGAGTCGGGGCTCAAGGGGAGGGTGAAAGCGGAAAGGGGAGGTCGAGCCCTCTGCCCGCGGAGACCGCGTATGATGCCGCCGTGCGCTACGCGCACGTGGTGGAGCAGCTCAATCTGCCCCGCACAGCGCGCGATCGGCGGGGCGCACCGCCGCCGACCAAAGATCTGAACACAAGTCATCCACAGCCGCTGCGTGAGGACAGGCAAGAAGATTACGTACACAAGATGAGAGATGTGTGCACGAGGCGGAGCAGCCCAAAAAAACTCACTGCAAATGTCACGTGCCTCACTCGTCAGCTCTATTGATTCACCAACCATTCAGTCCATTCCTGTAGCTCCTCCATGTATCCAGGCACGCCCCGTAAATGCCGTGCTTCGAGCTGGCGCGTGACGGTCACGGGATAGCGCTTCTCGCCCAAGATGAGTTTGGCCTGGTCATCCTTCGCCGTCTTGGTGATCCTGCATGCCCTGATGAGCTGCGCCGCCTCCTCGACCTTCTCGCAGCAGTTGAAGTCCCCCACCGTCTTCTTGAGATGCGCCACGTTGGCGCTTCCGACCTCGTGTATCTCTGCCAGGCCGACCAGGAGCACGCCGAACATCAGAGTATAGAGAGGCCCCAGTAGTGGCATGTCGGGGTTCTTCTTCCGCACCTGCTTGAGTAGCGGGGGGAGCGGCTCGCAGAATCCCTTGTCCTGAACCTGGATGCCCATGTGTTTCTTCTCGCCCTGGTTGAGGCTCTTGCCCCCTCGCTTCGTCCTTGGCGGGGCAGCTGCTGGACCTGTGGGCCCGCGCTTGCCGTCGTTGCCAATGCTCCCAGACGCTGGCGAGGATGCCTGGGGGCGCCTTGTTGCCCTCACCGGAGGCACGTGTCGTAGTAGTTGCGAAAACCTGCGATCTGGCGCGAGCCCGACGAGTACCACACTCCGATGCAGTAGGTAATGGCCGATGTGCGCTCAAGGTTGGGCGTCTCTGCACAGGTCGAAGCTCCTTCACAATCCAAGGTTTGTTCGATGTGTGGACTGGTACGGGTACATGAGAAAGCACATGGCGTCGAAACGCGTCCACTGAGCCACAAGTCAACGGTGACGACGCTGATTTCGTATTCGTGGTCGCTCTCTGGGTTCGGGTTTTCGCTCGTAGTCTCCGAAATGGTCGTGCAGATGAAGGCCTCGTCGTCTCGAACTCGGTCTGTGTCGATCGCTGCTCGATATACTGAGGTAATGATGGTGCCGTTCGTCGTGCACGTGTGCTCGATGTGCTGCGTGTCCATGCTCGTGAAGTAGATGGTGCCGATGACGCTCGTGCAATAGGTGTGCGTGTTGACGGGTATGGAGGCCGTGTGGGGGCTCCAGAGGCATCGAAGGCTTCATGTTGAGGGTCCAAAGGGGCCTCTGGATCGAGATCACGCGATACCACAACACGGCCTATAGGGCAGTCTAGTTTTTCGGGCGGGCTCTCAGTACATGGCGTGAGCAATGATCTCTGGTACGAGATACCGTGTCACATCTCAGGCACTTGTTGTCAAGGATCAGCAGGCCGAGCACGCTCCTCATGGCGTGGCATGACTCCTTGCTGTGAGTCTGATGCGCGCGTAGCGCAGCGAGAGACGGGAAGGTGCGGCCGCAGACCGTGCCGTCTGCCAAAGTAATTTCGCACGAGTAGGTGGGTAGGTCATCCACGCCCGTCACCTCAGTTTCCGTAGGAAGAAACTCCTCCAAATGGGTACCGTGTGGTGACCATTGACGCGAAAAGAATATCGCTCGTAGTGTGCGGGGGTCCACGGCAGTGTACATGTCACGTAGAGCGGGATCTGCCATGAGCCGTCGGAAATCACGAGGTTGCCATTCGTGTCGTAGTTCAGTGGCCAAATCCAGTGTGAGGAGAGTGTCGATGTTACGGGCCAGCTGCTTCGCCAATGGGTGGATGTTGCTCTCGACGTTGATCTCTCCGTTCTCCGTCAAAATGGGAACAACGCACTTTGCCTGTCCCTCCATTGCAAGCGTACCGAAGAATCCCGTCAAGAAGTGATGGTGCTGCTCTATGTCAGTCATCATGTCGCGCCACAAACAGAGACGGCGCACCGTAAGCTCAAGCGCAACAGGTGCCAATCTCCAGTATCTCCAAACATGCAAGGTGGGCCATGTCCGATGTACACCGTGTCGTTCTGAATGTGCGCGGCCTTCGAGCATGGAGCGCAACTTGCCCACCAAGCTGGTGTCGAGGGCCTTGGTATCAGCCCTCTTGTAGATGTAGCTCTCGCCGCCAGACGTGGCCGCACTGTGGACGCATCCTCCGAACAGAAGGCGGCGAGGACGCCATCCTGCCTTGGAGTGCGAACCGGGCATGCGCCTGGGGAGGTTAATGGGCGTGGCGCCTGTGGTATCGGGCCGGGGAGGTGAAAAGGGGGCGCGGGGGCCTTCTGAGCACAGGAAAAATTACCTGACCCGGGGCATACAAAGGTTGGCCCCTCGCATTTTGCTCATTTAACCTTTGCTGGACACCAGCCGGAAGTGCAAGACACTGGAGCGAAGCGGCTGACCGGCCAACGATGTGTTTGCCTACGTGAGTGTGGCTCGCTGACCCCCGAACTCCTGCCTTACATGTTGAGTCGGCCTGGCCGGATCCACGGACCGTGGGCTAGTTGGGAGTGCGCCCTTAGCCCACAGCCACGCCATGGAGTTTTAGTGATAGTCAATTTGCTGGCGGGTGAAAGTGGAGGGAAGGGAGGGGCCACTCAGGTGGCGGCGGGGAAGGGGAGAGAGCAAAAGTGGAGGGAAATAGGTGGAGATGACGGAGCGGGAAAGACGAGACGCATAACCAGAAATGGAAGCATTTTTTTTTTGTCCCACTGGCGGCAAGCAGTGCCCTCGGCTGCACGGAGGGCGGCCTCCTCCTGCCCAGCTGGCTGGGAACCGCCCTGCCCCCCCATCAAACGGGGGGCACCACGGGACACTACGGGACACCTCGGGGCACCACATCGATCTCAGTATCGATTTTAGCATCGATCTCACTCAACGGGACACCACGGGACACCACGGGACACCGCGAACCACCGCCGGACGGACGGATGGACGGGCGGGCGGGGAGAGAATCATTTGTCTTGACTTGGCCCTAGCAACGGCGGACACCACGGGACACCACGGGACACCGCGGGACACCGCGGGACACTGCGAGCCACCGCCGGACAGGCGGGCGGGGGAGAATCATTTGTCGTGACTTCGCCCAAGCAACGGCGGACACCACTGGACACCACGGGACACAACGGGACACCACGGGACACCGCGGGACACTGCGAGCCACCGCCGGACGGGCGGGAGGGGGAGAATCATTTGTCTTGACTTCGCCCTAGCAGCGGCGGACACCACGGGACACCACGGGACACCGCGGGACACCGCGGGACACCGCGGGCCACCGCCGGACGGACGGACGGACGGGGAGAGAATCATTTGTCTTGACTTCGCCCCAGCAACGGCGGACACCACGGGACACCACGGGACACCACGGGACACCGCGGGACACCGCGGGACACCGCGAGGGCCACCGCCGGACGGACGGACGGACGGACGGACGGACGGGGGAGCAACATTTGTCTTCACTTCGCCCTAACAACAGCGGGTTCATTCCTCTCGCGCGCCCACGCAGCTTCGCCTCGCCCGCACGCACGACACGAACGAAACGAAACGATTTCCCGGTTGGGGGTCTTCGTTCCACTGCGATCTCACCCCCCAACCTCCTATATACATGTGTGTGTATATATATATATATAGTCCTCGTCCTACATTTTTATAAGCCCAGGCGGGGGGACCCCCCCCACCCCCCAAAACCGGACTCTCGGGATCTGGGGCTTTGGGACCCTCCAGACGGGCCTCGAAGCGGCCCCCCGGCCTCGCAGGGCGTTTTGCCAAGCCTTCCCAGCACACCCAGGGCGATCAGGGGGTCATCGGAGACGTCCCAGATACCCCCAAGACAGCACAAGAGCGCTCCAAGAGTGACCGACGTGACCTCAAGATGGCCCAAGAGGCCTCCAGGACGGCCCCAAAGAGGCCTCCAAGAGCACTCCCAAGAAGGCCCCCAGAGGCAAAAATCATTGATTTTCTCAAGGTTTTTGGTGAATTTTGGGGTTATCCTCTTTTCGGCTTCCCGACGCTCCAATACGGCGGTCTTCTGGGCGTCCGAAGCCGCCTGGGAGACTCCAAAATCGCCCCACAACCATCCGAAAAGGTTTCCAGGCAGTCCGAGAGTGCCCCAACACGGCACAACACGAGTCCAAGATGGCCCTCAGAGAGCCCCATGGCGGCCCAAAATGTCCCAAAGACACCCTCCGAAGCATTCCAAATCGTGACCCGGTCGTTCAGGGAGACCGCGGTTGGAGGCAGGGTGGCCCGAGGAAGCCCCCAGAGGCCCCCAGAATACGCCCAGGAGGCCCCCAGAAGGCCTCAAGAAAGCCTGAAACAACTTTTGTGAGGCCCTTAGAGGCTCTCCAAGGAGGAACCTCCGCAAAAAAGAGCTGAGGAGGATGGGGAGAATGCGCAGGGTATGGCGAAAATAAGGAAAAATAAGCATGGAGGAAGGATAACGACTAACATTATTATAGCGGCGATGCCGGAAAAGGCAACAAGGAGCTATCGCTAAATTGTCGGCTTGACCTTCCTGCTATTCCGTCTGCATGCCAAACTTCAAGGACCAAGGTGCATGGCGCGAAGCGCCACTGCAATCTTGTGTATCTCTCTATATCGATATATATATATATGTATATATATATGGATGTTCCTGAAAATCGGCGATTCTTGGTGCCTGTGTGCTTTTTGTATCTGTTTGCTCCTCCTGAGTCCTCGGTACCTGTACCCCAGGTTGCCTGCCTTCGCGGGTCGCGTCCAGCGCTGCGCGACGAGCGATTACCTTTGCGCCCTCGCCCCGCACCCCTGGATTGGAGAGGGGCGCCTCTCCAACATTCTCCACCCCAAGCCGCGATGCGCGAAGCGCGGTTATCTTCGCGCTCTCCAGTGACCTAGGCAACGGTGGGACTCGATTGTGACCTTTGGGATGCCAATGAGGGTATCGTGACAGTCCGCACCGATAGGCATCTGCACTTCTGGCCCCATCTGTAGCACCATGCATCAGGTAGCCGCTACTCCTCAGAGCGTGCAAGCCTTCACGGGGTGCGATCCGCTACGCAGCCCGGCAAATAGTCATCCAAGATCCCATTGTACATGAACGTGGCGAAGATCGTCAGACCCGCACCAATCCGCCGACCCCTGCTCTGGGGCCCCACGAGCTCCCCAACGCTCCTCCTAGGGCTTCCAGGATGGCTCATCCGGCCTTAAAAAGGGTGTCCCAGCAACCTCGCCCAAGGGCCCCCTGGCTCCCAGAGGGCACACGAGGGCCCAAGGTGGCTCTGGAGCCTCCTCGAGAGGCTGGAGTCATAGAACGCCCTGGCTTGATTCTTGGCCTTTCGGCTGTCGAGGGACCTCGGAGGCCCTGGAGGCTGTCGGTGGACCTCGGCGGCGCTGAATTGAGAGCTCCCGCCTCTTCGGCCGATGAGCTCGCGGGGGCACGAAAGGCCTCGAAAGGTCGGGTGTTGCGAAAGGTGCCCCTGGCCCAAGGTGCCCCCAGCTTTCCGCGCCGTCTTGGAGCTCCTGGGGCCCCTCTGGACCTCGTGGTGGGGTCCTCTGGAGGTCGTGCGGGCCTTCTTTAGGGGAACAAAAAATGGCATAAACATAAAAACTCGGAGGTCCGCGCGGATTTCTCGGATCGGCGCTGGACCCCCCTCCCTGGCGCGCGGAGCGCGCCAGGGGCGGCGCCGGAGGGCGCCGCCGGGGGGCCCCAGCGCCGATCCGAGAAATCCGCGCGGACCTCAGAGTTTTTAGGTTAATGCCACCTTTTGTTCCCCCACTCTCGAAGGTAGCCCTTCTTCACGTGCGGCTGGACCTCGTGCGCGGCCTCGTCCTCCTCCTCGGAGCTCTCGCTGTTTTTAGGCTTATGCCACTTTTTGTTCCCCTATTCTTGCAAATCCTGGGGGGCACCCTGGGGAGAGGGGAGAGGAGGGGGCAGGGGGAGGAGAAGGAGGAGGAGGGGGCAGGAGGAGGAGGAGGAGGAGGAGGAGGAGGAGGAGGAGGAGGAGGGAGGAGGAGGAGGAGGAGGAGGAGAGGAGAGGAGGAGGAGGAGGACAGATGGAGCGAGAAGCGGGGGGCACCCTGGGCCAGGGGGGCTCCCAGCAACACCAGCAGGGAAGGGGGCCCGGGCGAGCCTGCAGAGTGGGCTGCGGGCCCTGTGCGGCCACGGGGGGCCCCCACAACGGCTAGCTCGGGCCTGTCCCCCTGCAGGCGGATCTTGGGCGACCCCCCCGGCGCCCCCCCCCCCGCCCCAAAAAAACAAAGATTCAAAAGAGTTTAAACATATTAGAAACATCGTCCCCAAACTATTTTTGACCAATTTTAAACCTATTGTTGACCTATGGTTGACCTATTGTTGACCTATGTTAAACCTATTTTTGACATATGTTTGACCTCTTCGTCCCCAGAATTGAACTATGCTTTCAACCTATTTTTGAATCTTCCTCCTGTAAAGGGACAGGCCCGACTTTAGCCCAGTGTGGCCACCGGGGGCCCCCACAACGGCAAGGCCCCAGGCTGGCGGCGTTCGGGGGCAGCTCGGGCCAACGCACCCTCTGCTTTGGCTGGTGCCCCCGCCTCCCCTCTGCTCGTGTCGCTGGTGGAGAAAGGCCTGCACAAGCCGGAAACTGTCGTCTGAAGTCCGCGTGAATTTCTTACATCGCTGCCGGACTTCTTCCTGGCGAGCGGAGCGTGCCAGGGGCAGCGCCGGAGGCGCCGCCAAGGGGGTACAGCGCCGATCCGAGAAATTTGCGCGGAGCTGTGCAAAATTATGTTAATGCAATTATTTCTCCTTCGAATGGTGCCCCCTCATTTCGTTTCACTAACGCTCGTCCACCCGCGCGAAGATCGCTTCTGGGCAGGACGAGGAGCATCCGTGACGCGTCAGAGACAACTCCCGATTGCAAGGGCGCAGTGCCCTCAGCCTGGCCGGGTGCCCACAGACCCTGAGAGGGGACCCGATTTGGAGATTCCTTATGGTGCCTTTTTGCCCCTCCTTCTGCCTCCTCCACTTGATACGGTGGAGGCATTGGATCAGGAAACCTTCGATAAGGAATCCAGGATCTGGAAGCCAGTGGGATTCCAATCGCGGATCGGCCATGGATATCACCACCGCCCTCATCAGATAAGGAATCCTCCAGAGTCTGCAGCCCCCTCTGCACATTCCTTCACGGACACCCCCATCGTATTCGAACCATAGGACACGACACATACATAAATCTTCGGAGCTCCTCCCTCCTCCTCCTCCTGCTCCTCCTCCTTCTCCTGCTCCTCCTCCTCCTCCTCCTCCTCCTCTTCCTCCTCCTCCCCCTCCTCCTCCTCCTGGACTTCTTGGATCGGCACTGAGCCCTCTTGGCGGCGCCTCCCCTGGCGCGCTCCGCACGCCAAGGAGCGGGGGCCTCAGCGCCGATCCCGGAAATCCGCGCGGAGCTGCGACGGCTGATGCCTACGCGCTTGCCTCTTCTTCGGCCTTCGTCCACCTCCTCCAAATCAGATGTCCCTTCCTCCTCCTCCTCCTCCTCCTCCTCCTCCTCCTCTCCTCCTCCTCTCCTCCCTCCTCCTCTCCTCCTCCTCCTCCTCCTCCTCCTCCTCCTCCCTCTTCTCCGCATTACCACGTTCTGCCTCCTTTCCCCACCCCTTCCTAGCTGTCGGGTCATAGCTCGGGCCTCTGGCGGCCGTTCGGGACGATTCGGCCCCCCCCCCCGGATCGCTCTCGGCGAGGCGCAGCTGCTAGAAAACATCCCGTGGCTAGAACATCTGCAGGAACTTGCTGAACTCCTCCGCTTCGCCCAGCCCCAGGCCACCCGAGCAGCCCAAGACGTCGCCTCAAATCCCCTCCTCTGTTGGTCGATGGAACGGCGTGAACCGATACCATGAAGAACATGTCATCGATCACGCTCTCCTCAAAAAGTGCCGCACTCCACGCGCTCGTAAGCAGCAGCGACAGCGCGGTGCTGAACTGCCTCAATATATTGTCAGCATACTTCAGGACAACAGCTGCCAGCAATCCCCCGCCAGCCACCGTGAGAAATACCAGGACTACCCCCAAAGTGTAACCTTGAGTGAGACCGCCCTCCGCCACCTTTCCGCCGTCCTTTGTCACGACGCCAGAGAAGGCTGTGAGGGCGCCGAAGAAGGCGAGCTGCGCGTTGCGCAACCACATGGAAGCAAACCCGCCCTTCAGCACTTTCTCCATGAAGACGCCGGCGAAGCCGCTCGTGAAGCAGGCCGCAAGGACTGCGAGAAACCCCAGCAGATGACTACTCGACAGCACTGGTGGCGCAGTGGTGTCGCCGCTGCTGCCAGGGCCGCTCGAGTCCCGTGGCAGCTGCACCAAGACGACCCCCAGAACCAGCACGCACAGAGATACCCATCTCTTGAAGCTGATCCGCCGCCGTGCACGCCTGGCCCGTCTGGGCGTGCTGGAATGCCAGGTGCTGTCGAGTACAGCGGAGGCCAGTCCACAAGAAACCCCCCACAAGAAACCCAACCCTGAGACCCCAGGACGGCCATTGGTTTTTGGTGTGGGAACGTCGCGCTTTCCGCAGCAGAACCACCGAAACCACCGAAACCCAGGGCACCCTGGAGGCAGGCAGGGTGTTTCTTAGCATGGGCCTCCACTGCAGGGTTTCTGTGACCAAGGGCCCAAGAGTGGGAACACGAACCAAGAATTCGAGACTTCTGCCCCAACAGGCTCCCAGCGGGCCCGCCATTGCCTTCTCGAGCAAATTGCCACCCAAAATGCTGCGCCGGCACGGCGGTGGCACTGCCGGAGGCAACCGGATAATCTTGCCCAGGATGCGTGCGCTCAGAAGAGCGGCGGCGAGAATCTTGAGCTGGTATGTGATTTGCTGTACCGCTGCACCGAGCGAGTCCAAGCTGAAAAACAGCATGTTGTTTTGCACCGTGTAGGCTAATGCAGGCACACCAAGCTTCAACGTTTCCCCTACATCGTCCATGCTCTCCTGCCAAATTTCCCGTAAAGCGGCGGCAAGGCTCCCTGTCTCGCTCGCCAGTAGTAGCGTACTCAAAACCAGTTTGGTCAACTCTGCAAAAAGCACAACTGTACTATTCAAGTACGTTTTGCTTGTTGTTCGTGCAAATTTCACTGTATACACCTGGACAGTAGTTTGCAAAGTCAAAGATACAAGCGATACCCACTTCAGGGGAATGCCCCAAACTCGTGGAACACTTGTCGTATCCTGCGTTTGCTCTGACAATGCACTTTTGCGCGGGCTGCAACTTGGTTGGGTATCCGGAGGTTGAATCATTGCTACGAGCTCATGCTCATCAGCGGCCTTGCCAACACATTCGCCTTGCATGATAACGACCAGCTGGCGCCCCAGAGATGCAAGACAGGTGCACTTTTCTGCAACCCGCTCCCGTTCAGTCGCCACCCATCACGCCACGCCCGACAGGGCGCTGCTGCGCTGGAGCTGGGAGCTACCCCTCAAGCCCAAACTGCCGAGTGCAGCGGCCAGCGATGACACGGACGGCGACGTCGATGATGATACGAATGACCCCCGTGGTCCCTGGCGAAAGGTGGCGTCCTCATGCCCGCCATCCCCGCTGACGCTGTTCCGAGGAGGAGCGTGGACCACCGCCGCCGAGAACCCATGGGCGAGGTGCCCGCCCCTGAGCGGTGGCACTCCCGAGCGTCATCTTGCACTGGGGTGACGCTCGGGCGTGCCGCCGCCCAGGGGCGGGCACCTCGCTGATGGGCTCTCGGCGGCGGGGGTCCGCGCTTCTCCCCCGAGCTGTGGCGGCGGCAGCGCCGCCAGCGCAGGCGCAGCGACCGCCGCCGACACGCCCCGAGGGAGCCGCTGGCGGCGTCGCCTCCCCACGGCGCCCGCCGCTCGCTGGGAGGCCGCTGCGGGGCGGGGCCCTGGCGCGGGGTGCCCCTCCGCACCCGTGCGCCCCCGCGGGGCGCGCGGCCAGCTAACACCGGCGGGATGGCGAGGTGGGTGGTGCAGTCGGCCCGTGTCAGGAGGCATAAGCATAAAAACTCGGACGTCCGCGCGGATTTCTCGGATCGGCGCCGGACCCCCCTCCCCGGCGCGCGGAGCGCGCCAGGGGCGGCGCCGGAGGCGCCGCCAGGGGGGTCCCCAGCGCGGATCCGAGAAATCCGCGCGGGTTCCCGAGTTTTTATGTTTACGCCACTTCCTGTTCCCCGATGTACAGTCGGCCCGCGTCAGAAGGATGCGCGAACTTGTGGACGGCGTGTCGCTGCGCCGGCTCTGTCCCCACACGCCGCGGCGCGGCGCGCCATGTCCACTTCACGGCCCCGAGGCCTCCACGCCCCGAGCCCTCCCCGGCCTCCCGCCCCCGTCCTGGCGGAGCACGACGCGCCGTCAGCTTGCAGGGCGCAGCGTGTCGCTGGGGCCGCCGCGGCGCCACGATACAGCCCGATCTAGTTGGACGCCCGAAACGGGTACGGAAAAATCAGGTACAATGCCGAACATTGAGCAGGGACCGACCGTCCCGGCATTCCTATAGTCATACCACGAAATGTTCTTAGCATCCCAAAAAGTTCTAAGACAAAATCAAGTTTTGAGAACATAAACCCGATGTGCTAAACAAGACAGACTCCGCCAGAAATGTTCGAAGAACATTTCGTGGGAGCCACAACAAGTTCTTAGCACATTGCTTGGTAGGGCTATAGGCGAGCCAACACGCTTCGCCACTGCTTGAGAACAACACGTGTTGTCCAGAACCGACAGCGGCCGCTGTTGGGCAGCCGGCTTTTCGTCTTCAAAGGACAGCGTCCGCGGCGGCGCGGACAGCGAATCCTGTTCAGAATGAGCAGGCACTGTTGCTGGGCATTGTACGCATTCTTTCCATACGGCAGGTTCGCGTCGTGTCGACCCCGGCGTTGGTTTCTGACACCGCGGGGATCGTTCAACCTTGAACGATCGGCCGCTGCCGCAACGTCCAATCGTTCAACATCGATCGATTCTGGGTCGCCGGCGGCGTTCAACCTTGAACGCCCGCGCTGGGGTCGCCGCTGGTCGACACGACGCAAACCTACCGTACCCATGTCGTTCGTGCCGAACCTAGGCCAGAAGCACATCCTTCAAGAGCACGAGGCCCTCCGCCGGCCAAAACACACAGCGCATCCTGGGGCACCCTCCCCAGGGTGCACAAGGACACCCAACGGACACGAAGAGCATTAGGGCACCCTCCCCGAACCGACCTTGATCTTGTACCTCGGTCCAGCTGTAAACAAGAGCCCCTGACCGTACGGGCAGTTCTTTAATACATAGGAATTTTTCAAAAAGATATAGAGGACTTCTGATACGTGGTTAATGTATGCATAATTTCATGCATTAACTCATCGTTGTTTTTAATACTACATCCATGCATTTTTCATACATGATCCGCACGCGGAGCATGTATAAAAAACGGCACTGTAAGAGCGGCAGCGGAGCGCAACGGTGCGCAACGCCAGGGGCCACCGCGGCGACACGCTGAGCAGAAGCCGAGCCGAGCGGCGCACCTCCCGTCCCGCGGAGCGGAGCGACGCCCTGTCGGCTTGCGAGGCGTCGCGTGCGCGGGCTCCCCAGGCCACGGGGTGCCTCCAAGACGGCCCCGAGGTGGCTCCGGGACGGCCCCCTTTTGCCTCGGGACGGCCCGAGCTGGCCTCAGCGCGGAGGGCTGCCTGGCAGCGAAGCGCGGGCCAGAGAACGAGGGAGGCGATTGGAGGAGGGAGGAAGGAGGAGGGAGGGAGGGAGGGAGGGAGGGAGGAGGGAGGAGGGAGGGAGAGGAGGGAGTGGGAGGGAGGTAGAGGGAGGGGAGGGAAGGATAGGCAGGGAGGGGAGGGAGGAGGAGGAGGTGGAGGAGGAGGAGGAGGAGGAGGAGGAGGAGGGAGGAGGAGGAGGAGGAGGAGGTAGGAGGAGGAGGGGGGGGGAGGGGAGAAGGAGGAGGTAGAGGAGGAGGTGGGAGGGGAGGAGGAGGAGGAGGGAGGAGGAGGAGGAGGAGGAGGAGGAGGAGGAGGAGGAGGGGGAGGGGGAGGAGGGGGAGGAGGGGGTAGGAGGAGGATGGAGGAGGAGGAGGAGGAGGAGGAGGAGGAGAGGGCGGCATAAGCATACGCCACAAGCTTTCGACGGCCCGCGCGGCTTTCTCGGGTCTGCGCTGCCCCACCCCCCCTACCCCGGCGGCGCCTCCAGGCCACCCCCCGATCCTCGCGCCCCGCCAGCGAGGGGGAAGGAGGGGGGCGGCGGCGCGGATGTCCAAGAGATCCGCGTGGACCGTCGACGGTTTATGCCTGTGCAGTTTTGCTCCTCCTCCGGTCCTCTGGCTTGCCTCCCGCTGTCCTCCTATGCTTCTGCTTGTTGCGCCGCTTCTCCCTCGAGCCCGTCTGCTTATGCCTCGCTTCGTCTTCCCCCAAGAATTCGATATGTTTATGCTGTTTTTCTTCTTCTTCTTCTTCTTATTCTTCTTCTTCTTCTTTGTCTTCTTCGAACGATGGTGGCGCAGACGGCGGCGTCATCGAAATAGCCACCAGCCTCCGCTCGCCATGGTGTGACAGGCGCGCGGCGTGGCTGTTGAGGCAGGCGAGCAGGAGGAGAATGAGGAGGCGGAGGAGAAGGAGGGGGAGGAGGAAGAGGAGCAGGGGGAGAAGGAGGAGAAGGAAGCGGCGAAGAGGGCGGCGGGGGATGGCGAGGAGCAGGAGGAGGAGGAGGAGGAAGAAGCTGCGGGCGAGAAGGAGGCAGGAGAAGAGCGAGGAGGAGAGGGTGGTGAGGGCGAGGAGAGAAAAAAAGGAGGGAAGGAGACGGCAACTGCGCCGCTGTGGCGGGGGAGGGGATGCGCTCGGCCCCCCCGGGGCACCGTGAGATCTCGGCACCCGCTCTCCTCCGTGATCCTCCTGCGCGCGAGGCGCCCGCGCCGTCGCCGTCGCCGCCGCCGCCGTGGCCGTGGCCGTCGCCGTCGCCGTCGTCGCCGCCGCCGTCGTTGGAGCAACCCGCTGCGAAGTCTGCGGACCGAAGCCTGAAAAGTCTGCGGGCGCACTCCCGTCGGCGGGCCTCTTTGCTGGGGGCCCTAGTGGCCTTCGAGCGGCTGCTCGGCGTCTGTCCACATCTCGAGACAGCAGAAAAGTAAGCAGGCCTCAGGCGGAACGCCTGGCCCACCCTAACGACACGTCCGATGATGCGAAAAGAGGAAATTACTTGTCAGGAACATTGGTTGGGGACAATGAAAAGGCGAGGGCGTAGGAGGAAGACTATTATTATCCTTCTCCTCCTCCTCCTCCTCCTCCTCCTCCTCCTCCTCCTCCTCCCCCTCCCCCTCCTCCTCCTCTTCCTCCTTCTCCTCCTCCTCCTCCTCCTTCTCCTCCTGGGAAGTGAAGGCAAAGAAGGCTGGAGGGAGCCTCGAGGGAGGCCAACGGCGGCTATTTCGCTGACAGCCCAAGCCCGCTCGAGAAGAGCCCTAGCTTTTCGGTCGGGATCTCCTTTGTTGTGCCCCGTGGACCGATGGCGGGCCCTGGAGACCGGAGCCGAAGCACAACATAAGACCCGAGGGAATTGAATGGGCCCTGGGACACACAAATAAAGAGACACAAATAACAGGATGCCCCATCTTTTCCAATACTTCCTGGGTCTTTGTCTTCCTCCCAAGTCCCATCTTTTCCCATATTTTCCTGGGGAATCGACGATGAATTGTGTCTGTGTGTCTTTTCCCTCCTGAGGAATGACAACTACGGACGCCGCTGGCTCCACGGCCCTCTCCCGGGGGTGCGCTCACGACGAGGGTCTCGAGAAGCCCCGCCCTTGGTGGCGAGGGCTCTCCGGCACGAGCAGCGGCGTGGGCACCGCCGAAGTCGATTGGAGAGGGTGAAGGGGCCCCAGGACACACAAATAAACACACAAAGAAAAAGATTCCCCATATTTTCCCATATGTTCGGGTTTTTGTCTTCCCCCCACTGCCCATATTTCCCCATATTTTCGGGGGAATCGACGATTAATTGTGTCTGTGTGTGTTTTTTCCCCTCCTGAGAGGGCGCGAGAGAGGACACAATACCCTTCTCCGGAGGCTACAGTGCCACAGGAATGCAGAAGGCATGGGCCGCGAAGCATAGATCACGAGGGTACCCTTGATCTGACAGGGTCGACCTAGTAGTAAACTCGACTACATACCCCTGCTTAGAGCTGAAGTTCGGATCTTGTGCGCTGAGAAGATGGCCTTACTTCAAGCGTTTTATGAAACAGCAGTCCAGGTCCACATCTACGAACAGTCTACGAAAAAAGAAAGCTTTAAGGCAACTCCCGGGGCCCAGTCCAGATTCAAGTTTTTCCTAAGCGAAATCTGCAGTCCGTGAAAGTTGTTGCTTTTTCTTGCGATTTCTGATGCATGTATTTTCTCCTCCCCCGAGGGTGGCTTCTGATTTCTCATGGGTGCTTTCTGACTTCTGTTGCGTCGGGCGTGTCCTCCTACAGGCGGGTTTTGGGCGACAGCGAAAACGTGGTCA